GATACGGAACGTACGGTAATCGTAAACTGCGGCTGTTATACATACGAAATGTAAACAGACGGTGTTCAGTGTTGCCATATGACTTTGGAGAAAATTTCTTCTAAAATAAAGATGGCCGCGATTGCGCGAACACGTGCGCGAAGATAATCAATTTTCATTACATTGCGCCAACTGTGCACAGCAATAGCTTAAAAAAAGTGAAAATGCGCAGGAAAATTCACCAAAAACATACATCATCCTGAGTGTGGATCTTCAGAAAACCTTTTCAACCAAAATTTCTTACTCCTAGCCTCATAGGCAATAAAGTAGGTATACCTAATTAATATTAATAGGCTAATTTTCTCAGGAAATAAGGCAAAATCATTAGCATCTTTAAAACATCTTTTCAGCACAATTTCTTTAAATGGCTCTCATACTGGGCTTTAAAAGTCCTACTTTTTTCTGAAATATTGCAGCTCTAATATCATAAAAGCCTACCTAAATAATATCAGTAGGGCTGTAGGGATGAAATCTCATGGCTCTAAATCCCTCCAAGCGAGGAAAACATCTAAACGGTAAACGCGGTATCATAATGACAAACCAGAGATTTTTTAGAATCAGTTCATTTTTAATTACCTCATTTACCAAAGATTTAAACCAATTTCTTATGTATGATGATGCTGGTATCCAGTATACTTTACTGGTCTACTTATAGGACTCAAAAATGAACTTGAGGGAGTGTCTAAAAAACTCTCTGCTTTGCCACTATGCACGGTATATTCCAACATCGTGGGTAATTCTGTCACCTCTCTAATTTTTCCTTTATATTAAGCTTTGTTTTGGTTCCATGCGTTCATTGATGGTTGAAATGGTGATGTCATACATCTGCTCGTCAAACTACTGCCAAAACACTAGGTCTTGGCCCAGAGTGGAAATCTAAGATTAGAGGTTCACTTAAAAAGTGTTCCGCCTTAAAAAAAACGTTCCAGGCAAGTGGCAACTAGAAACAGGTTTGCAGGTCGTCAGAAATGGGCCTCGGCAATCGGCATGAACGTTACGTCAGGCAACACTGAGAAAATCCCAATATTGTTAACCATAGTGACAAACCAGAGATTTTTTAGAATCAGTTCATTTTTAACATTTTTAACTTCCTCATTTACCTAAGATTTAAACCAATTTCATAAATTCTTATGTATGATAAGGCTTGACCTGGCTGGCATCCAGGATACTTTACTGGTCTACTTATGGGACTCAAAAATGAACTTGAGGGAGAGTCTAAAAAACTCTCTGCTTTGCCACTATGCGCGGTATATTCCAACATCGTGGGTAATTCTGTCACCTCTCTAATTTTTCCTTTATATTAAGCTTTGTTTTGGTTCCATGCGTTTGTTGATGGTTGAAATGGTGACATCATACATTTGCGCGTCAAACTAGTTAACTGTGCGCATCACTCACGGATAAGCAAGAGGAATCTACTGAAAAAAGAGTACACGTTGTGCTCAGTAGAAGTTACAAGGTCGCTACTGACACCAGTAGAGACTCATCACTCACAGACACCGATGAGCAAGGAAGATCTTGGGAAGGCTGCATAAGCTTTGCGCCCCGCATGAACGTTTCCAAGGTCGCCGGTAGAGACGCGTCACTCTCCGGTGAGCAAAGGATATCTTGAGGAGGCCTCACAATGTTGCTGCCGGTAATGGATGTACTCTTGATTCTGAAAAAAGTTCCATTAGATCTTGCCGATATACTTGAATGCAAAAGTCGCCTATATACGAGTTGATTAAGAGCACTTGATGTATTAGTTGTTCAGAGTTTGACCAGTTGATTCAGAGCACACCAAATTATTTTCTTTTACGGTCACA